ATTGATCCCATTGATCCGCAGGGTTCCCGTGAGCCCCCAATCAGCCCCATGATCAATGTATTGATCCCATTGATCCCTCAGGGTTCCCTCCCATGCCGGTGCCTCCCGCCGGCTTCGCGGGGCTGACGGAGGAGGAGCTGCGGGCGATGGAGGGACACGAGAGGCAGCACCTGGAGGCCCGACTGCAGTGCCTGAGCAACATCCACACCCTGCTGGACGCTGCCCTGCTCCAGATCAACCAGTACCTCACCGTCCTGGCCACCATCGGGTAACTGGGACCACTGGGAGGGACTGGGAGGGACTGGGAGGGAGTGGGATGGGGCTGGGAGGGGCTGGGGGAGCAACATCCACACCCTGCTGGACATGGTCCTGCTCCAGATCAACCAGTACCTGACTGTCCTGGTCACCATCAGGTAACTGGGAGCACTGGGAGGGGCTGGGAGAGGACTGGGAGGGGCTGGGGGGGACTGGGATGGACTGGGATGGGACTGGGATGGGCTGGGGGGGTCAGAGCAACCACCACTGGAGCAACATCCACACCCTGATCGATGCAGCTCTGGGACAGATCAACCAGTGCCTGACTGTCCTGGTCACCATCGGGTAACTGGGAGCACTGGGAGGGGCTGGGGGGGACTGGGAGGGACAGATCAACCAGTGCCTGACTGTCCTGGCCACCATCAGGTGACTGGGAGGGACTGAGATGGGACTGAAATGGGACTGGGAGGGACTGGGAGTGATGTGGGATCCAAATCAACCAGTGCCTGACTGTCCTGGCCACCATTGGGTAACTGGTTTTCCCCCCCCAGGACCCCCCGAGGTGCCGCTCCTGCCCCTCCCCCTGCCCGGGACCCCCCCTCGGAGGAGCCGCCGGGACCCCCCGGACCCCCCCCCGGGCAGGGGTGAGCTGGGAAAAACCCTCACCCCAAACTGGGGGCACTGGGAGGGACTGGGAGCACTGGGGAGACTGGGAGGGACTGGTGTGGGCTGTGGCACCAGATGGGACTGGGGATACTGGGAACACTGGGAGGGACTGGGAGCACTGGGGGGACTGGGAGCACTGGGAGGGACTAGGAGCACTGGGGGGACTGGGAGCACTGGGAGGAACTGGGATCACTGGGGGGACTGGGAACGGGGAGGGAACTGGGAATGCTGGGAGCACTGGGGAGACTGGGAATGCTGGGAGCACTGGGGGGACTGAGAATGCTGGGAGCACTGGGAGGGACTGGGAGCACTGAGAGGGACTGGGAGCACTGGGGGGACTGGGAACACTGGGAGCACTGGAAGGACTGGGAAAGTAGGGGGACTGGGAACGCGGAGGGAACTGGGAGCACCGGTGCTGAACTAACTGGTGCTGAACTGGTGCTGAACTGGAGCTGACCCGGTTCCCCCCCCGCAGCCCCCTCTGGGCAGGAGGAGGAGGAGGAGGAGGAGGAAGAGGCCGAAGGCTCCGAGGGCTCCGAGGGCCCCGACGCGGCCGAACTGCGCCGGCGCCGCCTCCAAAAACTGGGAACCACCCCCGGGAACGGGAACGGGACCCCCGGGAATGGGAACGGGACCCCCCCCCACTGACGGCGGGGCCGGAGCCCCCCCGGGACACCCCCCCTTTTTCCCACTCCCCAGTTTTGCCACCAAAATTCCCGCCTGGAAGCAAAACCCGACCCCGGCTGAGCCCCTTCGGTGACCCCGGAACCGCCGCCCCCGCCCGGGGAACCCCCCCCTTTTCCAGGGGATTGAGCCCTTCCCAGGGGGATTCAGCCCTTTCCTAGGGGAGATTGAGCCCTTTTCCAGGGGGATCCAGCCCTTTCCAGGGGGATTGACCCCTTTCCTGGGGAATTCATCCCTTTCCTAGGGGAGATTGACCCCTTTCCTGGGGGATCGAGCCCTTTCCTAGGGGAGACTGAGCCCTTTTCCAGGGGGATCCAGCCCTTTCCAGGGGGTTTCATCCCTTCCCAAGGGGATTCACCCCTTCCCAGGGGGATTGAGCCCTTCCTGGGGGATTCATCCCTTTCCTGGGGGATTGAGCCCTTTCCTGGGGGATTCATCCCTTTCCTGGGGAAGATTGAGCCCTTCCCAGGGGATTGATCCTTTCCCAAGGGGATTCATCCCTTCCGAGGGAATTCATCCCTTTCCAGGGGGTTTCATCCCTTTCCAGGGGGTTTCATCCCTTTCCTGGGGAAGATTGAGCCCTTCCCAAGGGGATTCACCCCTTTCCTGGGGTATTCATCCCATTCATTTTCCAGGGGGATTCATCCCTTCCTAGAGGGAATTAATCCCTTTTCCAGGGGGATTCATCCCTTTCCAGGGGGATTCATCCCTTTTCCAAGGGGATTGATCCCTTCCCGAGGAGATTCACCCCTTTTCTGGGGGATTCATCCCTTTTCCAGGGGGATTCATCCCTTTCCAGGGGGATGTTGATCCCTTTTCCAGGGGGGATTTACCCCTTCCCAGGGGGTTTCATCCCTTTCCCAGGGAATTGATCCCTTTTCCAGGGGGGATTTGCCACCTTTCCCGCCCCCTCTGGTTTAGCCCAGATTTTCCTATTTCCCCTCCTTTTTTCCCATTTTCCCTCTTTTTTCCCATTTTTCCCTCCTTTTTTCCCCATTGCCCCCATTTTTTCCCAGTTTCCCCCCATTTATCCCCCTCCTTCCCTCGTTTTCCCCCCATTCCCATCCTTTTTCCCCATTTCCTCCGTAATTTCCCTCGTTTCCAGCCAATTTTTTTCCCTTTTTTTCCCCATTTTCCCCCCCATTTTTCCCCCCTGGAATTTGGGCCCCTCCTGAAGATTTTGCCCCCCCCCCCAAAGACTGTGGGTGTCCCCCTCCCACCTTGGAATTTTGGGGTCCCCCCTGGAATTTTGGGCCCCCCCAAAGGAATTTTTGGGTCCCCCCTGGAATTTTGGGCCCCCCCCTTTCACCCCAACCCCGTGAACAGTATTAACCCCCCCCAGTGTGACCCCCAAACTGGTTCACACTGGTTCCCACTGGTTTCGCTGTGTTTGGCTGATTTTTGCCCATTTTTGCCCGTTTTTGCCCGTTTTTGCCCCAGTCTGGGCGGGTTTCCCGCGATTCCGGGGCGGCCGCTCCCCCAGTGCCTCTCGGACCCCCCAAAAATTCTCAGGGAAAACAAAAAAAAACAAACTGCAAACCCCGCGCTCGGAATCGACGGAAAACGGCCCCTTTTGCCCCCGAACGGGCGGAGTTTTGGGGCAAAAAGGAGCCAAAAATACCATTTTTTTTTTTTTTTTTTTGGTTCGAAGCCGATTTTTTCTTCTCCCTCCCCTTAAATTTTTTGAGCGGCTCAAGGAGGGATTTGGCAATAACAAAGCTGGGAGTTCATTTTTAACCCCTTTCTGTTGGTTTTTTTTTTTTTTGCCCGTTTTGAGCCAAAATCATCATTTTTTTGGCTGCTGTTTCTGGTTGATTTTTTGGGTGGATTCCTCGGAATTTCCTCATTTTTTTGGGAGGGGGGAGGGAGAGGGGGAAGGACATTTCCGGGGTCGTTGGGCCCCAAATCGCTCCTTTTGCCCCCAAAGCGGGGGCGGGATTATTTAATTTGTAAATAATGTACAAATTTTTACCGATTCCGATGTAAATACGAAATAAAGGTGCCAGGAAAGCTCCTCCCGCGCGCCAGGGGGCGCCGCGCGCGCCCGCATCTCTGTGGTTCCCCCAAGTCTCTATGGCTGGTCCAGCAGCCCCCCGCACTGGTTTCTGTTGGGTTATACTGGTTTGTACTGGTTTCCCCCCGACACCAAAGTCTCCGTGGTTAATCAGGAATCCCCTGCACTGGTCTGTACTGGTTTATGCTGGTTTCCTGCCCCAAAAGTCTCTGTGGCCGGTCAAGAGCCCACTGCACTCGTTATATTGCTTTGTACTGGTTTGTACTGGTTTCTTGCCCCCAAAGTCGCTGTGGTTGTTGAGGAATCCTCTGTACTGGTCCGTACTGGTCTGTACTGGTGTCCTCAGCTCTCGGCCCGCTCTGTCCCGCCATGGCCCCTCTCTATGGCCCTGGCGGCGGCGGCCCCGGAAGCCGCTCCGTCCCCCGGGCCCGTCTCTATGGTGCCGTTTCCGCGGGACGGCTCCCCGCGCTGGGGGTCCTCCCGCCCGCCAGGCGGCGCCGCTTCCCGCCGCTCTGTGCCGCCACATCCGGGTCCTCCCCTCCGCCAGGCGGCGCCGCCCGCCCGCCCTCCGCTTCCCGCCGCTCTGTGCCGCCACATCCGGGTCCCGCGCGCGGCGATGGCGGCGGAGGGGCCCGAGGAGGGTCCGGGCGGCTCCGGGGGGGCCTTGGAGGGGGACGGGGACGGCGGTGAGACCCCCGGGGAGAGGGGGGTG